ATTTTGCTAAAACAAGAAAGGAAAAGGAAGTTTTAGACTTATACCTTCCAAAACACTTCAAGAAAGTGAAGAACCAAGCTATTTCTCTCCAAACAACTCCACAACAAGCTTCCTTAGCTCCTTGGTGCCAGTTTAATCGGTTTAGTTTTGTGGTTTCAACTCAAACAAGGCAAGATCAAGGTTGGAGTTAGAGGATTTCTCTCTTGTTTTTCTCTCCCAATTTTCGGCCAACACAAGAAGGGAATGAAGAAAAATGAACCAAGAAGAAAGAAAACTCATTTGGTCAACCAACCCTTGGATCTTTGACACTTGTCATTGCCAAGTTTTCTCTCTTTTTTTTTCTTTTCTTTCATTTTCCTTAGTCAACAAAGATGGCTAGATTAAGGGGTAATTTAGGGAGGATTACGTGAAATAAAAACAAGAAAATGAGGGTAAGAAAGTAGTGGTCAAGTGGTGTACTCAATCGGTAACAAACGGTACACGTCGGTTCAAGCCTATTTTCCTTAACTTGCTCGTACTTGTGTTTTAACTTATGCTTCACTAACTTATTAATAGCACTTCTAATTACACACTTCCTCTTATCTAAAACTCACTCTCAACCACCAAATTTAGAACACACACCTTACCAAGTGATCACACGGCTAAAATACGCAAAAATCTTAGTTTACCCTAACTATAAAAGATAAAACTCTCAATTTTATTATTTATTACAACTAGGGAGGGAGTAATTTAGTAGTAAAGTTATTACAAAGTAACTTATTCAAAATAAAGGATATTATAAGAAAAATATAGGTGAATTTTTAAGTCATCCCACTCTCTATCTTATCAATATTAAACTTGGCGCCTGAGATTTTAATTGGTGATCTTGAATATTTGTATTTGTTTGGAGTTAAATCTGTGTTGATGAATCAATTTCTGTGAACTATTCCTGAGTTTGAACAAGGATTCTTTATTTGTGGTTAGTAACGAAGGAAGACCGTTTGATTAGAGAAGATAGTACGTTTACCAGTGCACAATGTTTGATTTTAAAGACCTAGCCAAAGTAGTAAACCAGTTTCGTTGTTACGATTTCTCCTTTTTATCTAGTCCCAAGTGTATATTATCATAAGTTATTTCAATCTTTGATAAACTTCCTTAGCATATCAGTTTAGCCATTATATTAGGAAGACTTTTCTCTAGATACACTTTTGTGGTAGTATCATAGGCGAGGAAAAGCTATTGGAAAGTTGAAAGAAAACCCTATAGAATCAAACTTTTTGCGAGCAAAGGTGAGAATTTCGAGGGCGAAATTCTTTTAAGGGAGAGAGAGTGTGAGGGCCTGAAAAAATTTCTTTATTTTATTTTATTTTACTTTATTTCTTCGAATACATTTTCTTTACTTTACTTTATTGCCTTAAATTCCAAAATATTTTTATAAGTAAGTCAAGTTTTAAATCATTTTTCTTGTAAAAGTTAGTGCATGTTAAGTTCGTAGTGCATTATGAAAGTAGGACCGGCTAATGCAGTAAGTGCGATAAATTTTTTAAGAATAGAATGAGTTTTGTTCAAAGGGATATTATTTTATAAGATGCTAAAAAATAATTAGAGATTGGCAAGATATTTTAGTATTTGGGAGACAATAGGATGAGTATTAACCATAGCAAGCCACTTGTCACAAAAGTCTTGGATTTTGACCTTGACTAAGACCTTTCTTAACCCTTTAATTAAAAAAAAATTGGCCAAAATCCTATCACTTTTCCCCTTCCTTTGGCCAAAATTTTGAGTGAAGAAAAGAGAGAAAAACTTCAACTTCCAACTTCCATTCTTGTTTGAATATTGAGTTTTAACTTTTAATCTTGGAAATTACTCCATCAAAAGTGACATCTAAGGTGGATTAAGGGATTTGGTGGAGTGATTTGGGAGAAAGAAGCACTTGATTTCCATTTCTTCTTAGGGTATTAAGGTAACTATATCAAGAAGCTCTCTTTTCTTTTGTTACTTGCTTATGAGAGGATTTAGGGCTTGATTTTGATAGTTTTCATGAGAAATTTCATGGTTTGAGTGGTGATTCAAAAATTTCAACTTTGATTGTGAAATTTTAGCTTTTATATGATGCTTGAGTTTGGCCATGATTTGGTAGTTTTGCCTTGTGAATTTTCTTGCTTTTACAAGTTATTTGGCATGCTTATGGAAAATTTCAGCTTGTAGATGAAACTTTCAGCCTAGGGTTACAAATTTCAGCTTTGTTGTGGTTGATTTTTGAGGTAGAAATTGGTTATTTTTGGATGATTTTGTGGCCTGAAACAAGTGTACTTATAGTCTATAACTTGTGGTTGTGATTGAGGTTGGATTAAAATGAATATAGGTGTTGAGTTTGGATGGAAAAGTAAAAAAAAATAGGGGAAGTGCTGCTGAAATTTTTCTTTCCTTCTTGCTTGTGAAATAAGTGATATAATAGGGATGATTTTGGGTTGGTATGGACTTAGGTTATATGTAATTTTTGAGTGCACTTTAATGATAGTGTATAATCTGAAATTTTAACAAAATCATGTGTAAAATAAGAGGAATAGTGATGGTTTCTTCTAACCATTTTTGAATTCAAAAATCCCTAGTGAAGGTTCTCGGGTGAGCTCTCTCTAGGGTTTCTAGGGTGTTAAGGTGCTAGGGCTTTCGTCCTCATGGCTGCTCCTCCCTCCTCCGCTATGGGGATGGGGGCCTCCCATACTACTGAAGCAAGAGCTCCTCGCTCTTTTGCAGAGATTGTCGCCGCAAAACAAGCCCTGGGGTTCACCTCCAAGTCCTTGCGTCGTTGGCGGCTGCTACTGAAAGGGACCCATGGGTACAGGCTGTCTCCTCCACCATAGAAGAGAGCCGGTTGTGCGGTTCACCGTTGAAGACATCGAACGAGTGGCTGTCCCCTTTCAATTTGCCCTTGTGGGTAAATTCTCTAGGGGCCATCCGGCTATGGAGGAATTGCAGAAGTTCTTCCGTGCACTGGATTTGAAGGAGGAGTTCTCATTGGGTTTGATGGATCGTCGGCATGTCTTGATACAATTGACAAACGAGGCCGATTATTGCCGGATATAGTCGCGAAATATCTGGTATATTCATGATGTTTCGATGAGAGTATTCAAGTGGTCGATAGACTTTCATGTGGATAAAGAGTCTTCTGACGTCCCTATCTAGTTTGCCTTGCCGAAGCATCCAATTCACATGTTTCATAAGGAGTGCCTATTTTCCATTGTCGCTTGTCTCGGTCAACCCTTATGCATGGATGCTGCAACAGCGGTGGGTTCGAGGCCAAGCATAGCCCATGTTTGCATTGAGGTAGACTTGCTAATGGAGCTGCCACGGCGGGTATGAATTGCTATAGGGGATAGGCTGGGGTTATGGCAGCCATTGGTGCTGGAGAACCTTCCAAAATATTGCGCATTTTGCCTGCACCAAGGTCATAACGAGGGTGAGTGCCGCATTAAGAACCCCTATAGCACGATCGGAACAGCTAGGCCGCCAGCAGGAGGAGAGGCAGAAGCCATTGCAGTGGTTTCGGCAGCGTCTGGCTCCCGCACCAGGTGTTGGTACTCACGTGGATGGAGGATCAACTAAGGACCGTGGCCTGGGGATGGTGGATGCATTGGAGGACAGCAGCGTAGAGGGTTTGGCTTCCAAGAATAATAGCAGCAAGTGGGTACATTGGCGGGGACTGAAGCGCTGGCTGCGGAGACATTACCAACAACCCCAGTTGGGCGGCAGGGCTTAGGCACTCAGCGGCTGGATCACAGCGTTAGGGGTCAGGGTTATCCGCTGGGGGCTGGCCATGCTGATAGCAACGAGAATGTGACCAGGGATGAGGAGGTGCAAGTGGACGTGCCTCAGTAGATGCGTAAGGAGGAAAATGTGGTTGGCGCACAAGGTATGATGTCGATGGTGACTGAGCAGGTCCTTCAACTGGAGAGGATGCTGCGTGGGAGTGCAAGTCCAGTGTTAGCAGCGCCGCAATAGCCCGACAACAGTTCCTCGCATGGGAAGGAGCTAACCTGTTTTGTGCTGGACGCGAGGGCGGAGACAGCACCCATGGAGGACAGCGATGCGAGTGACGAAAGGGAAGAGGTGGAGCTGCCGCAGGTGCAGGGCAACTTGTCGCCGAGGCTAGTGGTCAGTCGAGATCAGAGTCCACCGAATTCTGTTTGGGAGCTAAACATTGATCCCCTCGATGGGAATAATAAGAGTGTAAGGAAGGCTAAGGGAAAGGGTCTGCGTGCTCAATTTCAATCGAACAGGCAACTTCGGTCCTCAATTTCCACCGATAACTTATTTCAGGTATTGCGTAATGATTAACACGCTATTGTGGAATATTAGAGGGGTGTCCCGAGCCCCAATTTAAGAAGATTGAAACACATTATTAGACTGCATGGTGTTCAGTTTGTTGCTATCTCTGAGCCAAAATTAGATGTTTCTCAAGTTGAATATATTCGCATGAGATTATCATTTGATTATGTTTTAATAAATGGGTCGGGGAATCTATGGATTTTTTATAATTGCCCGTTTATTTGCTCGGTGGTTGGGTTCTTCGAGTAGCACATCTCTTTGTCTATTCAACACCCGTGGCTACTGGGGCGCATGGTGTTTTCGTTTGTGCATGCCTTATGTTCGGTGGAGGGACGTCAGGACGTATAGGAGCAGCTTTTAGCTAATAAGCCTCGTACGCTGCCTTGGTGCATTGGGGGAGATTTTAACGTTATTGTCCATACCCATGAGAAACGAGGAGGCCGACCTTTCTCTGTGTCGAAAGGGATAGAGTTTTGGCATTCATGGAACAGGCTGAGGTATTTGATGCGGGATTTTCGGGTTCAAGTTTTACATGGTATAATAATTGAAAGGGTAGGGCTCAAATCTGGAAGTGATTAGATAGATTGCTCATTAATGGGGAATGCTCAGATTTGGCCTCAGCGATATTTGTAGTTCATCCAGCGAGACACCCGTCGGACCATGTCTCAATGAAAATTTCGTTTGCTTCGCGAATGGATAATGGACCACGACTGTTCCGCTTCTTGAATGTATGGACATCCAAACTAGATTTAATTGGGGTCATTCGGGCTACATGGGACACTCCAGTCCAAGGATCACTGCTTCGAGTTTTGTGCTCAAAGTTGTTAGCTATCCAGAGGGCGATTCAGCAATGGAATAAACAGCATTTTGGCAATATAGGCACGACGGTAAAGGAAGCTGAAGCTAGGTTGGTTAGAGCAGAGGATGGCTTGGCAAATGATGAATCCGGTGAGGAGTATGAGGGCCTTCATAGAGCACAAGTGGAACTTAATCGGGCTTTGGCAATAGAGGAACAATTTTGGAGGCAAAAGGCCCGGGTCAGATGGCTCAGTAGTGAGGATTGGAATACATGGGATTTTCATGCAGTGGTCAAGCAAAGGCGAATAAAAAGAGCAATACATTGGGTGAAGAATTCCAAGGGGACGTGGTTGGATAAGGATGACGACATAGCGAAGGAGGCAATTGATTATTTCTCTAAGTTATTTTTAGGGTCTATGGACACCAGTCCCAGGGAGTTGGTGCATTTAGTCCCGCCATTGGTTACAAGAAAGAAAAGTTCATTGTTGGCAAAGGTGCCTGACATAGAGGAAGTTCGACGTCTGGTGTTCACAATGGATGGGAAGAGTGCTGCTGCACAGACGGTTTCACTGGTAAATTTTTCACTTTTGCATGGGATGTGATTGCTTAGGACCTGTACAAAGTGGTGGCGAGTTTCTTTTGTGGAAGCGAGCTGCCTAGATTTCATTAGTTCCACTTCGATTGTTTTGCTTCCTAAAGTTGCGAATCCCCAAGATTTCTCTAAATTCAGGCCGATTAGTCTTTGCAATTTCTTCAATGAATTATTGTCCAGAATTTTGGTGGGTTGCTTGGCCTCGGTGGTGCTAAGAATTATCTCCCCCCAGCAGACGGGGTTTGTCAAAGGTCGTTCCATCACGGACAATTATTTGTTGGCTCAGAAATTGATCTCGGCCATAGGCAAGAAGGCAAGAGGGGGGAATGTAGCGTTAAAGTTGGATATGGCTAAGGCGTATGACCGGATATTCTGGAGGCATATTATTTCCATGCTGCGTATATTCGATTTTGGTGAACGATTTATTGATCTGGTCTGGAGGCTGATCTCAAATATCTGGTTTTCAGTTATCATCAATGGTAAATCTCACGAGTACTTCAAATCTAGTAGGAGCTTACGTCAGGGAGATCCTTTATCCCTAGTGCTTTTTGTTATTGGTTTGAAGATGTTCTCGCAAGGTCTGAATGCGCTGGCAGTGCAGCATGGTTTTCTGGGGTTTAGAGTCCCAACAGACTACCCCATTGTCACACACCTAGATTTTGCGGATGATGTGATCATCTTTACTAATGGATCGGTGGCGGCTTTAAAGCAAATTATGCAAGTGTTGGATATGTATCAGCAATCTTTGGGCCAGCTGGTAAATACTCAAAAGAGTGGCTACTTGATTCATAGGACTCTCTCCCCGGTTAAGAGAAGGGTCATTGAGCGGATTACACAATTTAGGAAACAAGAATTTCTAATTCGCTATCTTGGCTTTCCTCTGTATATGGGTAGATACAAAGCAGAGTACTTTGGGGAGATGTGCCAGGCGGTGCTGGATCAAGTCATGTCGTGGAAGACTAGGTTGATATCTCAGGGAGGGAGGATTGTTTTGGTAAAACATGTGCTTTCAGCCATCCCGGTCCATTTATTGTCTGCTGCGGTATGTCCTGCCCCGATCTTTAAGAGAATAGAGCAGGCATGCGCAAATTTCTTATGGGGTTCCTCAGGGGATGGGAAGAAATTCCACTAGATCAGATGGGCGCAGTTGTGTCTACCAGTAGAGGAGGGCAGAGTGGGTTTTAGGAGGCTCAGGGAGGTACATGTGGCTTTCTCTTGTAAATTATGGTGGAGTTTTCGAACTAGAACGTCGCTTTGGGCAAAATTCATGCAGGCAAAGTACTACCGGAATCTCCATCCATGTTAGGTGGAATTGAGGCAGTTTGACTCGCTGACGTGGAGACGAATGTTAAACATCAGTAGGCAAGTGGAATTAGCCATGATTTGGTTGGTCAACGGGGGCTCCTGTAATTTTTGGTTTGATAATTGGCTGGGCAGTGGAGCCCTTTTTCTGAAGGCTACGGTGTTTCCGGCCCTCACTTTCAAGGATTTCATCTCCAATGGGGTCTGGGATGTCCAGTTGCTTGGTCACTATATTCCGCTGGATCTCATTCAATTGATACTACAACACCCAGTCCCTACGGGAGACGGCTGCGATGAGGTGATTTGGAGACTGATGCCTTTAGGGAGATTCACGTTGGCATCGACCTTCCAAGAAGTTTGTCAGGCACAAAATGCCTCTGTGATTCACGCTCAGGTATGGCATCCACCGATTCTTTTGAAAATTTCTTTTTTCATGTTGTGGTTGCTGTTGGGAAAACTGCCTTTGGCTAATGCCTTGTGGAGGGTGGGAGTCCATTTGGCCTCCAAGTGTGTGTGCTGCGATGATAGAGAGATGGAGTTGTTGGAACATGTCTTCTCGGAGGCGCAGGTTGCAAGAGGAGTCTGGACCTATTTTGCTAGGATTTATGGGGGTTACTCGCCAAGGGTTCTCGCTTCGGACATGGTTAACAGCTTGGTAGCTATTGTCACCTAGGTCAGAGAAATGATAGGTCTAGTTCTTTGATCTTCCTAGTTTTACATGCTGGTACATCTGGAAGGTTCGAAATGAAGCCCATTACGAAGGGATTCAGATGCGCGTGGCACGGGTGTGTCATGACATCTTCGTAGACATGCAGGGGGTGGTTGAGGCACAGTTTAACCAGAGACTTGGGGTGCAAATGTTTCATTAGCTTTATGAGTGGACCCAGCACCTGACGCCCTGCTACAATTTCCTGCTAGTGGGGTGGAAGGCGTCGGAGGCAGGAATGCTAACGTTAAACACGAACGGTTGCTCCAAAGGTAATCCAGGAGTGAGTGGTGGTGAGGGGATTCTTCGGGATGCAGCAGGGTTTCTTTGTTTTGCCTTCTCGGTTTACTTTGGGGTGGGATCGAATCTGCGCGCAGAGGTTTTGGCTTTGGTAACGGGACTCCGCTTGTGCTTGCTGAAGGGGTTTACCAATGTTAACATCTAGGTCGATTCACTTGTCCTGGTTGGGATTCTTCATCGACGGCTACAATGCCCGTGGGTGGTACGAAGGGAGGTTGACCAGATTAGGGGCATGGTTGAGGATGTGATGCGGGTTAGTCATTGCTACAGAGAAGCAAATAGGATGGCAGACTATTTGGCTAAGGTGGGAGCGTCGGCCCCTAGCCAGAACGTCAGCATCTATGATCAGTTCAATACGATTCCAAGGCTGGCACACGGGGAAATTCGATTAGATAGGTCAGGCTTACCTTCGCTCAAGAGGAAGATAGCAGGATAGCCCGAAAGGTTGACTTAGTCAGGTGTTCCGGCTTTTTCTTTGTAATTGTGGTAGTTTGGTCTGATGAATAAAGTGGTTTTCTTAAAAAAAAAAAAAAAAAAGTGATAGTTTCTTCTAGCATGCTTTCTAGTTGCATTTGTTTCACTTTAACCTCGAGGTTAGTTGTCTTTTAGCTATTTGTTGCTGGAAATTCAAAAAAAGTGATGGTTTCTTCTAGCATGCTTTTTAGTTGCATTTGTTTCACTTTAACCTCGAGCTTAGTTGTCTTTTAGCTATTTGTTGCTGGAAATTCTAGCTATGAATTGGAATGAGGAACTCCTTGGTTACTCATGTCTCTTGGGTTCAATGTTCTCTTTTCACTCCAAAACCATATTTACATCTTTGCACTAGTAGTTACTTGGATTTTCTTTGGTTCACCTAAGTTTTGAATGGTTGAACCATACTACTTTATCTTGGTTGTTTTTAGGGTTTGTTGGTGATCAAGGACATAACCCGAGGGCGAACTTTTGACGTTATTTTGCTTAAACTGGTGAGTGTCAAGTGCATGTTTCTTGATATTTTGATTTGGATGATACCACATGTTATGTGTTGAATATTGGATTTGATGATACGAGGGTGTACTTTATCATAATCATCCTCCCCTTCTTAAATGATCTTGTAGTTGTTTGAACTCGATTGACCTGTACTTGTGTTTGTGCTTATACTGGACTTATAAGTACTGAGCGGCAGTATGTACCACACTCAATTCGAGTAGGAGGTGCCTCTCATTCCTGTCTCAGTACCTCTATCTTGATTAAGTCGATTGGAGAATTATCTCATCGATCATACTTGTTCTTGTTTGGGTGTACTCGAGTATTACCACCACTGTTTCTCTTTGGTGTTTAGGCCCAATAAGGGGTATGTTTGGTGGACGGAAACTAGTGTAAAGTGAAGATCTACAGTTATTGTTTTTGCTTCTTTAAACATTGACGGAGTATCAACGGGTTTGGATTAAGTTAACGCAATGGGAAATTGGCTCTTGAGAACCACCTGTATTCTTTAACTTGAACTGCTCTGTATGAGTTGTGGTGTTTACTTTTTCCATCATTTGATGCTTATATTTGATCGATTAAAAGTTTAGCTATGTGGTTTGTGACTGCGTGGCTTTTGACACCTCATTGGGCGAAAACTCACCCTGTTACCCCTTTGTTTTCCTTATAGGGGCAAAATTTTGAGAGCGTGATTTTGGGGAAAGAGTTGAGCTAGTTTTAGTTTTGTTTTTTTAAGCTCCTCTGTTTTAGTAAACTTCACATGTATTTGTATAAGTTTGGATACTCTAGCTTATATTTTAAGTTGAATTTTTAGCGACTCCATTGTATATAGTTTTGGGTTGATGAATGGAAGTTAAATTGCGTGTTTTAGTACTTTATGTGAACTTTGGTTTAGTAGCCCTAGCGAGAGTTGGGCAGGCAATCTGCTAACCTCTAAGGTACGCCCTAGGGGGAGGTGAGGCTGCCACATGATACATTTTTGGTTAGATATGTTGTCATGTGTAGCTTCAATTTGCATGCAGTTGTATTATCACTTTTTGACCTTTTAGTCATGGTGTCATATGATTCACTACTTGTTAGGCTACTGCCATCATGTCTCTACCCTACACATGCTAAGCACTAGACATAAAATTTAGACTCTAATTCGTTTTCAATCAATACTAGAAAATTTGACAAGTTGATTGAAAATGCTCTTTGAGTTTCAGTCCATTTTGCAAACTTTCTAGCAAGAAAACAAGGAAGAAATTCATAGTTTTGATTCAAATTCAACATACAAGTAAAGAGTGATGTCTTAATAAGTTTCTTGAGCAAGAACTTGCCCAAAATTATTAAGAAAAAATGGAAATCAAGGTTGGAATATCTTCCCCTATTTTGGATAGCAAAGGCAGAATTTTCCCACAAGAATTTTCTAAACATTTCTCCATCAAACCTTCCCAATTTTCCCATAACAAATCCGTGAACATATCAAACAATTTATAGCCAAGATTGTTAGCAAGAAAAATCATGAAAATTTGCACATAAACAACCCTTGACAAAGATCAAACACTTGGTGGACATAGAGATTTCTTCCATTTTCACCAACAAATCCCTAGAAATATAACTCAAATCCTTAAGGGTTTCATCAATCATTAACCCTTGGATATCAAGAACAACAATCCACAAATTCTTGGCCAAAATTTTCAAGCTTCAAACATACAAAGAGACTATCAAGTTTCTAGTACCAAAACTTCCATAAAATTTCAAATCCACCATGGATCTTCCAAGATTTAACCTAAATCCACTTGAAATATAAAAGAATGAAGTAGATTAGCCACTTACCTCTTCAAAACTTCAAACCCTAGCAAGATCTACCCAAGAGGATGGCAGGATTAACCCCTAGGAGCTTCTTTCTCCCAAAATCTTCCAAAGGTGCAACTAGGTTGGTGGAAGAAATCTTGGATTTTCAAAATTTTTCAAGAAAAGTGAAGTTTTCTCCCTCTCTCTCCCTTTCTCAATTTCAGCCAGCCAAGGAAGAAAAATGAAGGCCTCTTGGTTGTTTTTTTGATCTAAAATACTGGCCACAAGAAAGGTTTCTCCAAGTCAACTTTGAATAGTGTCCAATAGTGTCTTCCACTTAAGCTTTCTTACTCAACCCTTAGCCCTTTCTAACCCTTTTAACTCCCAAAATCTTGCTTAACTTTACTAATATCTCAACTTATAATTTTCTAGGATTTTGGCCAAATTCACTAATAAGTCGCAAAATCAACAATTTTCAAGAAATTAAATGCTCGAAAGTTAAAATATACAAGTAAGAGAAACTCGTTTAACAATTAACAAGTAAATCACTAAATGAGTGCAAACTTTATAAAAATATAATTTAAATAAAAATGCAAATAATTGATAGGTGAGAAAATAATTTTCTGGGCCTATAGCATGTTTATGAGGTATAAATGTTTAATTTTCGATATATGAGGCTGATTGTGACAATTAACTTTTTGGAAAGAATGGTTAAGGCAAATTGTTACATGTATTACTAGAATATTTGAAGAATTCATGAATTATTTTGATTATGAAATTTTGTGGGAATCATGCATATGATTAGGATTATTCTTGTTATTTGGTGATGACTCCTTTGGAGGAATATGATTCTCTTAACTTTTGAAATGTCCTTGGCAAATATTCAAATTTCTTAGGACCATGGTGCATTCTAATAATGCTGTTGGCACATCAAATCCTCCTAAGTAGGCCTGTCAACGGTCTGGGTCTAGACTCGACCCGGATCGGACCTGTCAATTTTTTTTGGGTACAAGTAGGGATATAATTCCGTTACCCGAACCCGGATCCAAAACCGTTTAATCTAACAAAAAGCGAGTCGAATATGGAATATAGCATTCCGACCTGTATTTGACCCGAACCCGTTTATATATATATAATTAAAAATATATATAATATCAAAACAATAATACTTCTTCCATTTTGAAATTTTCCAAACCCTAATATCTAATACCCCAATTCCAACCGCACCCACACATCCCTCCTTCCCTCTCACTCTGTCTTCTCTTTTGCTCCGCCTCCACCAGCCCGCCATGAAATGAATCCCTCTCTCCAGTCTGCTATGAAATGGGCAAGCTTCCAAGATAAAATCCATCACTCTCTCTCTTTCTTGTGCAAGTAAGCCATTATTGAGCTTCCAAGTTCCACCAGATTGTCCGCCATTTCAGTTGATTGTCGAAGCCATAACAGAGACTAGCGAGGCCGCCGGGGACACACTTTCTATCTCTCACGGTTGCAGCTCCAAAGAAGCATATTTCCAGCACTTCCAGTGGCCCAGCTCTCTCTCTCTCCCTAAAAGTATCTGAAAATAATGGTGAAAGCCTCCATTCTAGTATTTTTACTTTGTTAAAGATGCTGGTTGTTTCCAGTATTTTTTCTTTGTCAAAGATGGTGGCTGTTTCTAGTATTTTTGAAAATCATGGTGAAAGCCTAGTGGATGGGGAATGTGCGTGTGGTATTTTTGGTGTTTTCATGGTGTTATTGTATATCTAAAATTCATATTTTGGGGAAAAAAATAAGCCTTACTTATTTGTACTGGCTACTAATCCCATCGCTTAAATTTGACTTTGTGACGACTCAAAAAATTGTTCATATTTTCTTATAATTCCCTTTTATTTTGAATAAACTATTTTATAATTCCTTTACTACTACTTTATTTTCTCATTAGTTGTAATATGTAAGAGAATCGAGAGTTTTACCTTTATTTTTATAGTTAGCGTAAATTAGGGTTTTTGCATATTTTGGTAGTGTGATTAAGTGGTGAGTTGTGTGTACTAAATTTGGTGAATAAAAGTGAGTATTAGGTGAGAGAAAATGTGTGATTAGAAGTGCTAATAATAAATTAGTGAATTATGTCGCGCCCCATTTTTTGATAAATAAATAAATGGTTTAAAAATGTATTTTTTGATTCAATTTGTGATTTGGAAAATGAATTGTGATTTAAAAGGAAAATGGGTCTAAATGGGGGTTTTGAGAGTGCGACGATTTGACCCAAAAATTATGGTTTAAAAAGGGTTTTTGAAATAAAAAACGGAGTCGCCACTTGGTAATGAGTTAAGGTGTACCAAGTCACCTAAAAATGAATTTTTTAAAGGAAAAAATGGGAAAGAGTAGTAAGAAACCCCTTTTAAACGACTACTAGTCCACGTAAACCAAAGAAAAAGGTTCGGGAGTCACATTTGACAAAGGGGAAGGCAAGGATAAAATCCAAGGCACCCCTTTGACCTAGCCAAGGCTAGTTGCATGATTTAATCAAAGATTTTCTTGTTTTAACCAAAGAATTTATTACATTTGGATGCACTACATGAATGCAAGATGAAGAAAAAATGCAAACCTAAATTCTAAAATGTCTCTTGCAAGGTTTTTGGTCCCAACCACATGAATTGTGGCGGCCAATAAAGGAAAACCTTATAGAGGTCGATTAATGCAAATGATGGC